CGCCGATGTTGTCGAAGAACAGCCGGCTGGGCATGAAGTAGCCTGAGTCCAGGACGATGGGAGGTAGAAGGAAGAGGAAGAACATGTTGGGCTCCAGCTGGTACTCAGCTTTCTTCGCCACAGCCAGCACGATGCCACCCAGGCCCAGCCCCAGCAGGATGAGGAGGCAGCTCTCCGGGACGATGGATGTCACCTTCCTCGACAGGTGGAAAACTAGAAGGAAAAGAAGAAAGCAAGCGTCAGCCAAACGGGCATGAGGACAGAGCATCCCAGATCCAGAGGCTCCGCGGAAGGGTTGGCCGACGTGTGACGGACCCTGGGGTGGACAAGGGAGCACCTAAAGGTGCTTCGTGGCCATGTGTGTGCAGAAGAACCTTCCAGCTAGTTCCCAGGTCAGGATTTCAGATCCCCAACCCTTTGGGATCTCCATCTCCTCCCCAGCCACTGCCCAACAAGCCAAGCAGCCGGGCGTTTCGCTTTCCTTGGCCTCCAGCATCCGTGCTTTAACGGATAACAGCAGCCGGTCACGGTGTCACAAGCGATGCCGGTGGCTGCTCCAGCGCAGGCGTCCTGGTTCACCGGGACACGTTACCCCGCTCAGAGCCGAGGACGCCCGGCCCTGGTGACGGGGTGACCTTGTTTGCAGCCGTCTGAGCCGGCAGACGGAGCAGCATGCAAACCACTGCAGCATCAGCCAGAGCACCAGCTAACCTACCTGCGTGAAAAAAAAAACAGGAGCTGCAGGTTTTAGAGATGCTTTGAACAATCAAAGGTTTGGATTGTGGAATAGGATCTATTTTTTTTTTTAAAGCAAGCAGGGTATGCCCTGGTATTCATCCATCAGCTCCGTGGCACAAGCCAGCAGGATGTCATGCCAGTCAGCACAGGGGACTCGCTCCTCCGGGCAGCCAAGTCCCCAGGGCCAGGGCGACTTGTGTAATCCCAAATCGGTCCAGCTTCCAGGTGGGCAACCCCCCATCCCTGTGGATTTCTCCTCCCTAGCGTAGGGTGCTGTATATTTTGGGCAGTGCTTGGGGAAAGGCTGTTGAGGGTCCTCAAAAGCGGTTTTTCCCCCCCAGCATTGAGTTCTGCCACCGCCTGTGACATCCCGCCCAGCTCTGTAGCATGACTTGGCCATCAGACGAAGGAACCTTCTCCTGGGGGGTGGGTTCCTCCAGAGCCAGCCCTGTCCTTGAACACACAGCAGGTATGAGGGACGTCAGGGCAGCCTCTGAGCCATCACCTGGCTGCAAGCCCAGCCCTGCTGCCAACCCAAACCCCGGTCCCTAAAGCCCTTTAGCTGGATTAAAGGTGCCCATTGCTTGTGCCAAGTCATCCCACTAGAAGGAAAGCTCTGCTGGGATCACACGCAGACCCTCTGCTCCTTCCCTCCTTGGGAACCCCCACGGACAGACCATAAGTCTGCTCAGCCCAGGGTCCTGTCTCCAGCAGCATGGACCTGGAGATGAGTCCAGGAACAGGCAGTGCTTCATCAGTAGCTTTCCATGCCTCTATGCCCTTGTCAGGAGAACCTCTGAACCTGTCCCAGCCCGGCTCTCTCCTTCCTGGGACCAGTCCTTGAGATGTGGACACCCTGGGCACTGAGGTTGTGACCTCCTGACGTTCTTCCTTTCTCCTTTCCTAACACCTTAGTTGATTTTCTTTCCTTCACTGCAGCTAAGCCCTGAATTAGAGGAGACAACTCAATGTCAAAGGTCTGGTTCCAGAACAGAGACAACATCTCTGAGCCCACCACGGAACGTGCAGGCTAAAGGCCACTTTACCTCTTGGAGAGACCTTCACGCTGACCTGTGCTTGACTCCTTGGCATGGGAAGCCCTGGCCATGCCATCCTACCGTGCCAAATTCCTGTTGAAGGACCGCACGAGCGCGACAGAGCCCCGTTGGCCCCACGTGAGCCCGGCCCAGGCAGCACCAGTGGGTGAACGGCGCTCGCTCGGCGCCTGCGGCACGCTGCGAAACCGCTCCCCGCCCACGGCAACAAAGCTCTGAAGTTTTCAAGAAAGGGAACGAGGCTTCCAGCCCCTTTCTGCACGCTCGGGAGCATTGCCAAGATCCCTGCTCCGCCAACCCATCTGCATTCCCCGTGCTCCGTAAATATGCCCTGGCTGGAAGGAGAGACCCAGGAGGGCCCACAGAGATGCTATGGGGACACGGGGACATGGCTCCTGGTTGTCCCAGAGCCAAAAACTTGGGCAAAGAAGGGAGCGGCATCGATGGGAAAGACCCTGCATGTCCAAAAATCCTTCCTGGCTGAGGCGGGGGATGCTGCTGCCTTCCCGAGCAAACGGCAGCACACGAGCTCCTCGGCGCCGCGAGGGAACGAGCTCTAATTTTCCAGGCACTAGTCAAGAATTTCAGCATTAAAGGTTCCCACAGCAACCGTGACTTAGCCACACGGGAGTTAACTTCGGAGCCGTAATCCACCCTCAGGCATCCCTAAAACAGGATTAGGTCAAAACCTGCTCCTGGAAACACCGAAACCAAGACATGAGCAGCTGGGGACAGCTGATGGTGCCACAAGCGAAGGGGTCAAGGGACAAGGAGCGAGGGTTGCAACCCATGGGGATGCTGCTGGGTAGAAAACCCACCCGTCTGCTGGCAAAGCCCTGCCCATGGGGCAGCCGTGGGTGAGGAGCAGGTTTGGGGCAATGCTTCTCACTGCTCCTTAATTTCCCTCTTCCCCACATCCCGTTCAAGCAGATCTGGGCCCTGACCGAGTACGGAAAAGGCAGCAAAGCCCGGATGATGCCTGGCTGGGCAGGAAGGCAACACCCAAGCCAGTTTTTCCCCCGCCCCGGGTGTTTGCTGGCTCGGGGCACTCTGGCATCATGACCGCCACCGAGAACAGAGCCCGCAGTGTCACTTCCCCATCACCCGGGCATGGGGCCGCTTCCTCCCCTGCAGTCACAGGGCTGTGAGCTGGCAGCCCAGTGCCGCAACCGCCACAGCTCCCCCTCGGTGCCAGCCTCCGCCCGGCATCGGTGGCCGCTGCTTCCCCCTCCGCTCTCCGACATCCTCAGCTCCATCCCCTCTGTGGGTTCCTGGGGGCCCTGTGTGTGTGGAGCCACGTGCCACGTCCGGGGACCCCCCTGCCAGGGTGCTGCCTGCAGCCCTGTCTCAAG